GATTGTAGACCTATACAAGGTTGGAATGTGCTACAAAGACCATCAGCTAGAAGCTTGGTGAGAAGGAGACAACTGTTGGAGCAATTATTCACAAATGGAAGAAATACAAAATAACCATCAATCGCCCTTGTTCTGCAGCTCCATGCAAGATTTCGTGAGGGATCAGCCCAGAACTACATGGGAGGAACTTGTGAATGATCTCAAGGCAGTTGGGACCACAGTCACCAAACAAACCATTGGTAACACAATACGCTGCCATGGATTGAAATCCTACAGTGTCTGCAAGGCCCCCCCCCCCCCCCCCTTAAGAAGGCACATGTACAGGCCAGTTTGAAGTCTAAATGATTCAGAGAAGGACTGAAAGAAAGTGCTGCGGTCAGATGAGACCAAAATTGAGCTCTTTGGCATTAAGTCGACTCAACTTATTTGAAGGAAAGAAAAATGCTGACTATGACCCTAAGAACACTATCCCTACAGTCAAGCATGGAGGTGGAAACATTACACTTTGGGGCTGTTTCTCTGCTAAAGGTACAGGCCAACTTTGCCACATTAAGGGGCCAATGGATTGGTCATGCATTGTAAAATCTTGGTTTAGAACCTTCTTCCCTCAACCAGAACACTGAAGATGGGTCGTGGATGTGTCTTCCAGCATGACAATAACTTAAAACATACCACCAAGGCAACAAAGGAGTGGCTCAAGAAGAAGCATATTAAGGTTATGGAGTGGCCTAGCCAGTCTCCAGACCTTAATCCTATGGAAAATTTATAGAGGAAGCTGAAAATGTGAGTTACCAAGTGACAGCCAAAAAACGTGGACCACGTTTCCTCATGAGATGTGTGCCAACCTGGTAACCAGCTACAAGTAACATCTAACTTCTGTGCTTGCAAACAAGGGTTTCTCCACCAAATATGAAGTCATGTTTTGCTTGGGTATCAGATATTTATTTTACTGACTGAACTGCAACTCAATGTATAACATTTGTATCATGTGTTTTTTTCTGGATTTTTGCTTGATATTCTGTCTCCATCATTTAAAATACACCTATGCTAAAAATTATAGACCCTTCATTTTGCTGAAAGTGGACAAAGTTACAAAATTTGCAGGGGATCAAATAATTATTTTCCGCACTGTATACAGTTTTTTCTCAATATTTAGGCATTTTGGCAAGGCACCCCTGAAAAAACCTGAAGGGTGCCTGGACACCCTGGCTAAAAAAGACTGCCCTAGAGAACAAAATAATGGTAGTTTCAGTTTTTTATTACACATGATATTACCGCTAAGGCCAAAAAACTCAAATTTTCAGTAAAAAAACACAATAAATTACCCAAATTTTTGGCAAAATATCAAAGACGAGGTTGCACCAAGTAAAAAGACACCCAACAAGTCAAAGCTTTAATTTGTGTGTGCCTGTGAAATGGTGACAAACTTCAGTACCCTATATTTTCTATAGGTGATGCTTCAAAAGCCCCTACAGGTCATCAGTTTAGCATTATGGAGGAGGTCTTGTACAAGAATTATTGCTCTTGCTCCAGCGTGTGCCGCGATATGTAACATGTATATCGCAATCGTTTTCACACGTAGGTGCCCCGGGAACGTGCTTCTACATTCGTACGTGCGGATATGTTGGGGTGTGGCCTCAAAATTTATTTTGGAGGGGTGACGTGTGCTTGCTGGCATTACCAGAGGCTGTGGAAGCAATTGGGCGTACGATGTATGGATCAGTCAGTGAAAGGGTTAAAGAAGAAGTGTGCTGCTTTGATAAAATAAAAGCATTCATACTCACCTCTATGGCTGAAAAATTGAAGAATTGGTCCAATGCTGCAACTGTCCTTCGCCAGTTCTAAAACCAAGAATTGAGCGATCACATGACACCTGATCACTCAGTTCTCAGTCTGCTCTGAGCAGACAGCAGTGACTGTCAGCCAGCACTCTCTGCTCTGCCCCTCCAGCAGAGCACGGAGAGGCTGAGCCAGCTGCTGATCAAGCATCTGAGTGGATCCTGACATTATTGTCAGGATCTTTCCAGAGCCTGGAGCAGCTATGTGACAAAGCCTGCTGTCAGATGGTTCTGGGTCACAGGAGTGAAAAAGTAAGTGTGCTCCTGTGGCTGAGAAAAGAGAGGTATGGTCAGAAAAGTTTTAGCTATATTTTTCTTTTAAAAGATCATTGGTATCAAAGGTTACTTTTCTCAGAGGCAGAAATTTCTCAGTGCTCCAGGAACCCCTAGCAAACTCTGGAGAAACTCAACGGTTCCACAGACTGGACCGGAGCGCCCTCAGCGTAAGTACAGACATCTTTCCTTTAAAGGTAATTAAAATAGTTTTAGAATGGGGGTGGAAGCAGGTTTATATATAATTAGGATTTGACTGGACTTCCACTTTTCCTACTGTAAATTTAATCAAAAAAAGGTTTTGAAAAAAAATCAGCACAAGGGACATTACTTACAGTCAACGCAAAACATCCCTTGTGTTGATGGCTGCAGAATCAGTTGAAATCTTCCATCCTCCAATCCCCCCCTACTCCCCCTGCTGTAATCTTCTGGTGCCGTGGGACTTAATATAGTCAAGGGACCTGTCATATGCACTCACCTCCTCCAGTTATTGAAGTCATACTATAGCTTTCACTAATGAAATACAATCCATGAATGGACGGATATGTGAAAAGTCTACCTCCTCCATTCAAAGATCGTTTTTCATTCATAGACATTATAGTTTAGCTTTTACCTGGAGGACAAGAGCCAGGATGATGTGGCAACATACAGATTTGAATTGTTTTACGAGTCACAGTAACAGCAATGATGTAGCAGCAGATCTATTTACTTTCTATATAAAGTGAGCATATTGGTATATATTACACGGTCCATACATATGTTTTTATGATCTCTGATAATTGTTTTTACATCTTGTCTTCTCATGGTTTACAAAGTATAGGCAAGAAATTGATATCATGGTGTCCATGCTCACACTAGTTGTGGTTTATTTAAAGCTGAACTCCAGGCAAACAGCTAAATACATAAATTAAACACATATTTGTGGGCTGTTTTATGCTCCTTGCACTGCAGCACACATGAACTGCTCTTTGTGTTGCTTCTCCCTCACTCAACTGATCAGGGACTGTGGGAGGCTGATACCAGGTACAATTCAGGTACTTGTACTTCTTGAATATGAAAAGTACATTTCATGATGTATTCATGATTACAGGGAAGCATACATTCATGTCTTTGATACTATATATGCATGGAGTTCAGCTACAAGGATTCTCTGTGTTTATACAGCTGTCATTCTTCTTTGATGAAGGGATTCTGTGCTGTCTTAAAAGTAAATACTGTATACTGATTTAAATAATGTATTTCTTTAAGACTAGTATACTAGTGAAGAGCATTCACTTATATGGGGGAAAACATTTTAACTTCTGAATATGGATAGGCTTTAAGGTTCCATTAACACTTGGCATTCCAGGAGTGCATGCAGAAATAAGCAAAAAAGTTCCACAATGCTCACTGTGCTTATGATGCCAATATTTCTTTATGGCATCCCAAATGGGGGTAGCAGTCATGTGAAAAATGCTCCAAAAAATGGCATTTCAAAAAAAGGCTCACTGAAAGAAAAAAAAAAAAAAAAAGGTGCAAGAGCTACTTTGGTGCATTTGCCGGAAGCAAGGCAGTCTATTCAAGTGAATGGGCTTCCCTATGCTGTTGCGCAAAAAAAAGCAACAACGTGTAGCATCACGCAGGTGTGAATGAAGGCTTAATCTGTAGGTTGACTTGTATGATTTTGTTTTACTACATTATGCATAACTAGGAATAAATATTTTTTTCTGTCTTTTCTAGACACTACTGGTACCAAATGGGTAAAAGAAGTCATATAAGTATCATCTGTACAAAGCAAATTTTACTGGTTGCCTGAAAGGATATGACTGTCAAATGTTGTCATTCCACCCCTACAGAGGTCAAACCAACAGATGTTAGCATGCTGAGCTAAAGCTCAGGGCCCTGCAGTACAGGACTTCTAATTATAGTACCAATGGTAATTTGCAGTGACATTTTCTTGCCTGGACCAGTCTTAGCCACAAGCAAGATGTGGGAGTCCCCTGGAGCCCCACGCAAAGCATGCAAACTAATATTAAACCAGAAAGCCAAAAGAACTCTGGATTACACGAATAGCCCAAGCACTTACGCAGAACATTACCAATTTGGAGCAGATGACTAAAGATAAAGCATTTACCTAATGAACAGCTTCAAACTGCTCAAACTAGAGTGCTGAGGAAGGCTTGCCTACTTAGTACATAAGGCCTAAACTAGTCCTAAGTGCAAATCTCTCATGACCCAGTAGCTTCATTTGCATGCTTGTCAAGGTCATGATAGAAGAGAGCTATTCATCGGTGTTTGTATATCTGATGGATTCTCGGAGCTCTGTAAGTTACGTGTAAATAAAGAATTCAGTGACAGTTCTAGTCTGACTTGTAAGAAATAGTCTTGTCTACATTTAGGAACATGCAGCTCTGTCTGGTGTTCATTTAATAGTTCAGATTTATGACCATAAAACCAAAACAGTGCGCAAACCCACTTGGAAAACAATCATATCGTTTTTTTCACATGGGTTTGTGCACTGTTTTCGGTCTACTAAAATTCTGATATCTGGATAGATCTAGTGCTGCAATTCCGCTACACACCAAGTGCATGAGATCTTTTATTTTATGTAAAGTAGTTCAGATTTATACCTACATCGGGCAGCATGTAATAAGCTTGGCTAGAGAAAAAAAAAAATCACAGTTGAGATGTTGGATGACAGAGACCCAACCAATCTGTTTTTGGATAGATTAAATTCTAGTATTTGTTAGACCCCCCCCTTCCCCCAAGGCCTGGTTGACCATAATAAGGGGTGATTGTACACAGATTTCTATTCTCTGCAAATTCACTGATGATAGCACTGCAGTCCGACTGTTGCCTGTGAAATCACACATCTCCTTTCTGCCTTCAGATCCATAAAGTGTTAATAAACCCAGAACCTTTCATTCGCTATAACCAGTCTCCCAGTACTCAGAACATGGAAATGCAATTATTTTAGTAAATATAAACTGCTTAATACCTTTTCTCATCAGCAGTTAGAGCAGTCTTGTGACTTCTATCAGTGTCCAGCAGAGCACATGTGAAAGGTTGTAGGAGGAGTTTTCATTCTGCTCTAGGAGGATGCAGAACCGTGACCTCTATCTGGACAGTGCTGATTGGCCCTGTGCTGATCACATGCATTCTCCCAAGAAAACAAAATCCTCTCTAGCAATACACATCAAACTGAGCATGTGCAGAGTGACTCCATACGATAATGTCTTATCAGGAGATAAGAGGGGGGCACTGGAAGAGGGGGGGGATCAAAGAAGAGAGAATCAAACATCCTTTTTTACACAATGCAGAGGATTAACCCCTTAGGTTCCACAATGAGTAGAACAAATGAGTATAACAAACATGCTTTACTGCATATACAGACTGATTTTACTGTTGTGGGTTTAGTAACTCTTTAAGGGCCCTAGCACACGGCGGACCATTTATCAGGCGAACCAGATCAGACCACCCATTTTTCTCTATGGGGAGCAGATGTAAATAGGCACCTGTCTGCTTATACCTGCCTGTATCTGATCTGATAAATACAAAAGAATGGACATCCGTTCCTCATCTGTCTAGTAGATCAGATCGAATGATAGTCGGATGTAAATGGACAGGCGGTCTGTTTACATCTGTCCGCCCCCATAGAGAACAGCGGCCTGTCTCCGTGTCTGCTCTGCATAACCAGAGTGGACACGGACCTGTCATCTGCCTGCTCAGAGGACCAATCCCCCGCTGAGCAGGCGGATCCGCATGGCAAAATCCCCCCGTATGAAAGGGCCCAAAGGATTTATACTGTGCTAACAGATATAGGGGGGATTTATTAAAACTGGAGCACTCTGGTGCAGCTGTGCATGGTAGCCAATCAGCTTCAAACTTCAGCTTGTTCAATTAAGCTTCAACAATAAAACCTGGAAGCCGATTGGTTTCTATGCAGAACTGCACCAGATTTTGCATGCTCCAGTTTTAATAAATCCCACCTATAGTGGCACGATTGTCAGAAGCTCTTCTATAGGACCATTCTTGAAATCCATGGTCAACTGTGGATATTTGAAAAAGGTTCAAGATTAGAAAACGACCAATGAAAAGGGCTTTTTATTACAATCCTGCATATTTCTGTGTGCAGATAAGCAAAGAAATGTATTTGAGTGCCTTTACTTATTCAGCACAGAGAGTTGCTAGGCAAACTACCTTATCACAATGCCACTGACTAAATTGAGCTTTTTTTTAAAAAATGTCACTTTAAAATTTCATTACATTTTGGACAAAGAAAAAAAAAACAGTAAACAGTGAGGTGGGCCAAAATCTACACACCAGCAGCCGTGTCATCAGCACAGCTGTCTGGTGTGAATGAGCCTTTGTTTTTGTGAGTGCACATGATCATGTACATTCTCACTGCATGCAAAGATTGTTATTGAAAGATGTAGAACAGGATAGCTATAGTAGCACTAGTAAATACAGCATGATCAACTCAGAAATAGTTGAAAAATGTCTACAGAACCCATAGTAATCCTGCCTTCTACTACAAGTGGAGATCCATGCACTGCGAGATGAATTTTGCAATGAACACAAAATATGATCTGCAGAAGGTAGTCCTTATGTATTGCCTACTGATAGCTACAGTCTGATAAAGTGCAAAGAGACGATGTAAAGGAACTGTATGCGTTCCAGAAAAAAAGCAAAGACTACTTCCGTGATCCTTTCAGCAATTCTTGCAATGGCAGTGGTGCAGTCATTCTCGAAAAGTTTGAAAATCACACAATTGCACAGTCCTGAAGGTAGAACTGGATTATATCTATGACCGCAGAAATATTTCCTGTAGCCTCCCTAACGGTCTGATTATGTCAGTATTTCTGTGCTCAAAGCGGTACATTTTTTTGTATGGAAATATGTATTTTTTTTTATTGTAGGCCTGTAATTTTTAGGAATAACTCACTGAAATCTGTCCGAACAAGAGTCTAGTAAACATCCCGGGTTTGTTAAAATTTGAAACACGAAATCATAAATTATAATTTAATAAATAATCATAAAAAATAATAATATAATAATAATTAATTAATTTAATTCAATAATATAAATCAAACCAAAAACACTGAAATTTGAAATATAGCGCCAAGTTCGCACATCACTGAGCAAAGTCGCAAAATCGTTTTCAGTGTCTGATGACGAATTTCCCCACAAATCATCACTCAATTCTGCAAGTAGTTCTAATTTACTATCGCTGTTCTCTAGCTGGTCTAAAACCGATTTTGACCTAAAGGGACGCTTTTTGGACGCCATGGACATTTCTCAGTTTCAAGGCAGAATGAACAGCAAAAAAGTAGGCAGGGCACAGGACAAAGCACTAGGGAAAAAATGTTTGTGAAATGGTTTGATACAGTAATGTTTTACATGTGATTTTAGAGTATTTTGTGAATGTCGCTCCTAGATTGTAAGCTCCAAGGATCAGGGCCCTCCTTTCCCTCTTGTATTGAACTGTATTGTTGCTGCATTGTCTCCCGTTATATTGTAAAATGCTGAGCAAACTGTTGGCACTATATAAATCCTGTATAATAATAATGTCACTTTTTGACATTTTTAAATTTCCCGCCAGTTCCATCCCCGTACGTCCTGACGTTGCAGGAAACGGAACCTGGAAGACAGATGCCGACATCGGCTGGAAGACATTGTAGGGGGGATATCGCAGGAGCGCAGGACAAGGTAAGTGAAGAAGAAATCCCGGAGCAGCGCTGCAGGGTATTCCCGAGTGTAGCTCGGGGTTACCGTTTGTGTTGCTGAAACTTCACCCCGAGCTACACTCTGGAATACCTCCAGGGAGGTTAATATTCACAGTGACTGGCATCCCAGTTTCAGCTGACCATTTAGCTACCATTGGTAAATAAATATCAAAGGTCAGCAGCAATCTGACCACAGGAGTACAGGCATGCCATGCATAGGAATGGCATCTTGTAGCTACTGGGAAGAAGACAGAGACACAGATACTTGCTTGATTTCTGGATACTTACCTCTGCAATTGGTGACTCCATCACCGCATAAAATCCATTTTTTAATATAGGCATTCTACATTGATAGCTTGTGGAGCCTGTTGAGTGGTCATTGAAGGATAGTTATTCCCTGCAAAATTGGATTATTGAGGTAATAGCACAATATACTGTATGATTTAAAGAGATGCAAATTGACCATGCTAGCTTCCGTGTCTAGCATGTAGAAAAAAAAAAAGAACCAGGAAGACAGTTTTCTTGAAGGCAACTGACAGGATCACCAGATATGTAATGTATGTTAGTGTTATATACTGTATAATTAAAAAGGACCTACTGGCTTCCGGTTCTCCCCGCGGCTCCCGGGAACCCGCCCTTACAAGACCTGCTATCTGCCTCGGGGACCCCCGCATCTTAGCTTTGGGGTGCCCCCTCACATCCCGCGGCGGCCCCAGCATGGAGCGGTACCTTCTGCCGGTGCAGTCCGGCCACGAGTCGGCTGCTAGAGCGGAGGGGTGCGGCTCTCCCCCTCCTGCAGCCAAGATGGCCGCCGAAGATGCCTGTCACAGCATGGACACAGGCACAGAGGGAGATCGCAACGTGGGAGCAGGTATGTCTGCACCTCTCCCCACCATCCTCACTGCCTCTCCACTCACTTCAGGCACTGATAGCTCTTCTGAGCAGTATATTAAAATAGCCCAGGCAGTTTCTTCTATTTTGCTCCCAAATATCACACAGGCTGTGGATAAGGCTGTAAGCCTGGGCATTGAACAGCTGCGAATAGATTTGGGCGAACATTCTAAACGGTTATCTGTGGCTGAGCAGCGCTTATCTGACTTAGAAGATGAAGTCCATTCCATACAAGCAGTTACATCACAATCCAATCGTATACAGCAAAATATTTTGGATAAAATCGACGATCTGGAAAATCGATCACGTAGAAATAACTTACGCATCGTGGGTCTCCCAGAATCATTTAATACAGGTTCTCTTCCCGATCTCTGCTCAGCACGAATCCCTGCAGCTTTGGGTCTATCCTCCTCCTGTCAGGTAGAGAGAGCTCATCGCCTGGGGCCCCCATCTAACGAACGCCGGGTGCCACGTTCGGTGATTGTACGCTATCTCAACTATGCTGATCGCATGGCGATCCTCACCTCTTTTCGTAATTCCCGTTCTCTACAAATTGAGGGTCACAAATTATTAATATTTGCGGACTATTCACAGGAAGTATCACGTAAACGGAAAGCGTTTCAGCAAGTCTGCGCCACTCTTCACCAGAAAGGAATAAAATTCACATTAGCGTATCCGGCCACGTTACGTTTCAATGCACCATCTGGGGAATCCAAATCTTTCGTCCACCCTGAAGAAGCCTACCAATACCTCCAAGATCACCTAAATGACGGGGATCCGTCGACGCGTCTTGCGGGCAGGAATTCTGGCCCTAGAGATCAACGTAGTCCTCGCAAAGACCCACCTAAGCGTCAACGCACAAACCCAGCGTCTTCCAAAATCTCGCCCGCCTTGAAGGTTTAAGAGGCCATTGGTCTCTACATATTAGCTTCAAGCTTATCTCCTGGCCCGATTGGTTCAGATGTGACGGTTTTTCATTTTTTTGCTTGGTTTCTATTGCTTTCTATTGCAATGAACATACTTTCCAAAGTCTGAGTTTTATTGGCTGTTCAACTTGTAATGTTTTATATATTATCTGATGGTGCGGCGTTCTCTCACGCTCACCTGCTTCAACATTATTGTGTAAATCATATATATGCCTGAATTTGTACTTCCCTACTCCTGCATGTGCCTGGTTCCATATTTCAGCGATGCTGGGGGGGGGGGGAGATGCTGGAGCCGTTGATGGGAATAAATTTGAGGGAAGCCCTCTCCCATCCCAACAATCATACACTGGCCCCTGGGCAGGCTCTTCTCCCAGATACTCCCGGTCACGCTGGTATTGGTGGAAACAGCATGCGGAATGACGTGAAGTCCTGTATACTGTATTGGTATATTGTATGTTTTTGACTTTTTGTTGGGCTCTATTAGGGCCCTTGATCTTGTTCTCGCCTTTCTCTCTCGCTTTTCTCTTCCTCTCCAACTTTATTTCTTGGGAGAACTCCTCCGTCCTCTGAGACCGGTTTCTAATCACCCCCAATTGTCTAGCGACGCAGTGTTCTTTGTGCGTACGTACATCACTAATGGGTAAAATGCTTATCCTTCTATCATATCAAGCACATCAGTTAAGATGACACGTATTTTCTCTTGGAATGTCAAGGGTCTCAGGTCCCCTCACAAACGCATGGCGGTTCTAAGACATCTACGGCGCTTGCGTGCGGATATAGCTTTGCTCCAAGAAACTCACCTTACCCAATCTGACTTTATCCGCATGCGTAAACTATGGGTGGGTCATGTTTTCGGCTCCTCCTCCCTAAACAATAAAGCAGGGGTACTTATTCTCATTCACAAACGGCTTAATCCGGAATTAGTCGCTATGGATGCTGACACTGAAGGCCGTTTCATAGCAGCGCATATCAAACTCGGAACCCAAGAATTGGTTCTTACTAGTTTTTACGCACCCAACTCCCCGACGAGGCAGGTTTTCCAAGCCCTCTCTTCACGGCTGGCGGCATATGTTCACAAGCCGCTCGTCGTGGGAGGGGACTTTAATTCTGTTATGCAAGAGCAGGAGGATAAATCGCAGAGTGTAGACCGTGGCCCTCGCTCCCCTCAGATTCCCCGTCTCACACCTACTTTGCTATGTAGCTTCGCTGAAGCAATGCAAATTACCGATATATGGCGCTTAACCCATCCGGACGGCAGAGATTACACTTTCTATTCCCCTGTTCATCATTCTTTATCTAGAATAGATTATACTTTTGTAACTCCGTTCTACTGCAACATGTTGTATCATCTACCATACATGACATAGCCATATCAGATCACTCTCCAATCTCTATTACTATAAAAACTTTTTAGACCCTACGCCACATCCTAGGATATGGCGTTTCCCCTCGTTTCTGGCGAATAATCAGGAGCTCTCCAAACTATTACAAGACACCTGGGCAGACTTTCAAACTACGAATGCTGTCCATGTCTCTAATCCAAATTTGTTTTGGGATGCAGGGAAGGCTGTGTTACGCGGCAAAATCATCGCTTTTACGTCCGCTTATAAAAAAAGAATTTCACGTAATTTCACTGAAGCTAGTAACCTTCTTAGACTGACTCAAAGAAAAATGGCGGACTCTAATACGCAGGACAACAGGAAAGCTTGGGCGGACGCTAAAAACCAATTTGATACATGGGCGGCAGCTCAGGAAGCATTACATCACTCACACCTTGACTTACAATATCACAGGTTTGGTAATAAACCAGGCAAACTGCTGGCGCGCCTGTGTAGGAAGCCTTTTCACCCCTACGCAATTCACCTCTCTTAAAGACTCCCAGGGGGCACTTAAACAATCTCCGGAAGAGATTATATCTATTTTGGAAAGCTTTTATGCAGACTTGTACGGGCCGGATCCTATTGACCAGGCACGAGCACAGTCCTTTCTGGAAAGTGTAAATTTGCCCCAAATAGATCCAATAGCACTGCAATCTCTAAATGCCCCTATTTCACAGGCGGATATTTGTCTAGCTATTAGATCTCTAGCTAATGGTAAAGCTCCAGGTCCAGATGGGTACACCTCTGAATTTTTTAAACTGATGGACAAAACTCTGTCTCCTACTCTCCAGCTAGTTTATCAGTCCATCCAGGAGAGCGGGGTATATCTCCCATCGGCTTCGCAAGCCCACATTAAACTAATAGCAAAAAAAGGTAAAGACCCTTCTGATCCTGGATCGTATCGTCCCATTTCCCTCCTTAACCTAGATGCAAAGATCCTTTCTAAAATCATAGCTAACCGTTTGGCCATTGTTTTACCCTCTCTCATTCACCCTTCTCAAGCAGGTTTTATAAAGGGACGATCGGCCACGTCTAATATCCGCAAAGTGCTTACAGTTCTGCATCAGGCTAAAAATAACCCCCTTCAGGATTTAGCGATTATTTCTCTCGATGCTGAAAAAGCCTTTGATAACGTTAGTTTTCAATGGCTCCAACTAGTACTCTCTAAATTCGGCTTTTCCGGTTCGTTTATACAGTTAATTCAGGCTATGTATTCTGCCCCAACGGCTCAGATAGTAGCGGCGGGAAAAATATCTAACTCTTTTCTACTACATAAAGGAACAAGGCAAGGCTGTCCACTATCTCCCTTGCTTTTCAATTTAGCATTGGAACCCCTAGCCCGCTTCCTGCTTTTTCAGTCACAACTTCATGGCGTTCAAGTTGCTCAACAAGATCTTCGCCTAGCTTTATTTGCGGACGACATATTAATAATATTCACTTCCAACCCGTCACTAGATCTGCCATATATTCAGAAAGTTTTTGCAGACTTTCGGTGTTGCTCGGGTCTTCGTATTAATTTTGCAAAAAGTGAGGTCCTTCCCCTCTACCACGCTCGACTTCCTGATTGGGCCTGCGACTCCCTCTTTAAAATCAATACACGTTACATTACCTATCTGGGTATCAAAATTGGGAAATTAGCTTCGTCCCTTTATTCTCTCAACTTTTCGCCAGTTATTCAAAAAATTTTAGCGGAATTGGAAATGTGGAAAGACCTGCCGTTATCCCTCATGGGTAGAGCCCATCTCTTCAAGATGACAAGCTT